GATGCCCCTTCTACTAGGACACGGCTCAGCCCCCTATAGCTCCCCCCCCCCCCCCGCCCCCCCCCCCGCCATCCCCGGTGGGCCTAATTAAATTGGGGGAAATTATCGGTGTGAGGTTGGACGGAGTCAACTGTCTTGACGACAGACGAGGATGACTGAGCACCGCGGGGGAAGAGCAGCGCCGGGTTTCCAGCTCTTCCCTCCGGCCGGCGCCCACGGACGGCTCGGCGGGGGCTCCGCATCCCCGCGGCGCCGCCGCTCCCCCCGGCCCACATCCGGAGCTTGTCCCGCTCGCCCCACCGCATCTCGTCCGTCAGCTAGGCTGAACGAGAGATGCATATGCAACTCCGTTTGCTGTCTGTCGCAGGAAGCAGTTCCTGCAGATTCTCCCTGTCTTCTCTTCTTCTCCTTTTTGTCTGACTCAGACGCCTTAGCCCCTTCGCCAAGGCAGCGTATAGGTATTATTTCAAATCGGTCTCCTGTTCTGCCCAACTTTCCCCCATTCCGGGGTTAGCATCCATTATGCGAAAGGAATTATTTCGAAACAAGAAAACAACGTGTTGCAAACACTCCCCAGCCTATTTTCTGACATCTTTTGTTATGCATGCTCTTGCTGCTGGAGAAAATGCTAGTATGTGCACCTGCGAAAAAAACGCCTTCATGATGTTAACAGCAAGCTGGAGGGTATAAAGCAATAAAACTGCCAAATGTACCTGTTCCTGTTGCGTACATTACCTACACCTATGAATAAAGAGTCTCAGTAGGAATTCTTTCCTTTCTCTTCCCCTTTTCTCTATATTTTTATTCACTGTAGATTTGTAAACGCCTGGATCAGGTTACCCTTTCGCGTGTTAAAGTGGAACCCTTGTTAAAAGCCGGGGAACAAGGCAAGACACTTACAACTGCATTCAGAGTTACTGAACCGACTCCAAGGGCTCAAGAAGTGAAACAACGATGAGAGGGTGGCTAAGGGGGCTCAGAACATCCCAGCCACACAGGAAAAAAGACATCCCTCCCCCATGCCCCCCTGAAACAAACCATATGAACTACAAGCGCCGAGAGACTACGGGTTATGCCCTTCCACCGATAGAGCATCGCTTCGCATCCTCCTTCCCCCTCCTCCCCCCCCCCCCCCCCCCCCCCCCCCTTTCAACGGTATGCGAAGAGGGGGCTCGCATCCTTCGGCTTCCCAGAGCTAATGATCGGGCTGTGGGGAAGCACCACTCCAAAATAAAGGAAGAAATTAAAAAGAGGGAAAAAAAATCCCAGAAAGAAAAAGTAAACCCCTCTAAGTATTTCCACAAGCGATGCCTTAAAAAAAAAAAAAAAATAAAAATATCTGCAGAATCTGAAAACCAATCCTCAGAGAATGTCGCAGTGAGAGGCAGTGTCAAGACCTGGGATCGGTCTGGGGACGTCTCTGGGCTGCGCGAGGTTTTGGAAGCAGCGGCTGCTGGTGCCGAGGTTGGTTTTCAAAGCCCGAAGCCTCCAGCCCCTTTCCCCATCTAGAGCAACTTTCGGATTTCTCTAGGTTTAGCGAGTTCCGCAGGGTCCTTCCTACCTCAGTCCTCTCCGGTGGGGTCTGTCTCTGGAGTTCATGGTTAGCTGGACGCGAGGAGATTTAAGCGAGGGAAAGGGGGGAAAAAAAAGAGAGAGAGGGGGTGAGGGAGAGGGGGGAGAGAGAGGAGAGAGAGGAGAGAGAGATCCTCCGCCGTGCTGGATCAAACTTAATGTCTTTCCCTAGTCCATCTTTGAAAGAGAAGTGGTAATACCACCTGGATGTTCGGATATAAATCCCCTTGCAAATAATAAATGGATTAATAATAACAAGGTATGAAGTTCTTTTTATAGAAAAAAGGAGAGAATTGAAACTAAATGCGGCAGTTAGACAACCATTTTGATAAGAGGATAATTGAGGCGACACTGGTGTATAATTAGAGGATAATTTATGCTATATCCACTTTTATTCCACCTCCCAAAATAAACCCAGTCCATAATCATTACAGGCAAATTGTTCTGAATTTTATAGCAGCAATTTGAACAAAGTACTGCAGTTAATCATGGGAGATTTTTGTGTATTCCTGATTAGAAGTCTAATTGCCTCCTTCCAGAAAGTAAAAATAACTGTAAAACGACTCTATTTTTATCATTAACAATGTTGACAATAAAATAAAATCAACTGGAATTGTAATCTAAAGACAAATTTAGGGCGCAGGCACATTTTTTTTTTCCTTGGGTCGTTTATATCCTAATCAAGCTTTTTGCCAAAACCGCCAACCGCACGTAGCCATTTGCATATATTTGAAAGCCATTACGGGAGCTGCTGCTGCTGCGTTCAGCGGGGAAAAATGCGCTGCGCGTCGCTTCGCCGCAGCGAAAATACCGCGCAAGGAGGCGGGGGGGAGGGGGATGGAGGGGGTCGTGCGGTGGGGGAATGCGCGATCTGGGGGGAAGGGGGCGAAGGGGGATGGGGACAGACGCTCCCCTTTTCCCCACCCGAGCGCGGGGCGCGCAACGCGCGCGGGTGTGGAGGGGGGGGCAAGGGGGGCGGGCGCGGGCAGCGCGCGCGCTGCCGGCTATGACGTCAGGGGGCCGAGTGACCAATGAGGGAGGCGCTGCCCTCCGGAGACGAACCATTCGACTCGCGCGCGTCCCTGCCCTTCAAGTCGGAGCGCCGGAGCCCCAACTTTCCCGGCTCCCACCTTAAACTACCCCCACCCTCCCCCCCCCCCCCCCCCCCCCCCCCCCCAACACAAAAAAAAAACAGCAACAAAAAAC